CAGGCCAGTTGCTGTTATAACCCCAGGACTGTGTAAGTAATTAATCAAGGACTTCCTGAGAGCATGACATGGGAAGAGGTAGGTGTCTCAGACAAGCAGTCTGGCAGAAAATTATAGATGAGCATGGAGGTAACATGGATAGGTGCTCTGGACAGGTGTGCAAATGCTGCAGGCAGGTGCTATGGGGCACAGGTGGGTGAGTGGCTGCTGCAGGTGCCACAGGCAGATGCTGTGGAGTGCAGTTGGGTACATGGTGCTGTGGGCAGATATGCAGGTGCTTCAGGGAAGCCCTGTGGAGCACAGGTGGGTGAGTATGAGAAGGTTGAATACCAGTCCTTGTAACTTTACTAACAGATCAGTATAGTTGTAAAGATAAAAGTAAAAGTGGAGACAGGAGCTGACATCGCAACGGCATGACATGCAATCTCGGAGCTCCGAGATGGCAGTCGATACTTTTGACCCTGCATGGTCCTTTTGGACCTAAACCATCCTGAAGAGACGGTGACAGGGAAGAGTGTCTTGCTGATCTCAGGGACACCGCAAAGTCCCTGATTGATCCAAGAGAATCTCTTCTTGTCGGCAACAGAAGCGCAGCCAAAAGCTGCTGAAGTTGGAACAGCTCCAGAATGAGAGGAAAGCTGAAAGAGAAAGTATGTCCATCTGGTGAGGAAATCTTATTGTTATAAAAGAAACTGCCCCCCCCCCCAATTAAAGCTAAATTAAATTTGAAAACAGAAGAAAATAAGCAGCGAAATTAAGCTGCATTGGACAGTGTGTTATCTTTTTTTAAAAAAAATTCTTTTATGGATGGAATTTTTGCAAATATTTCCTATTTTTTAAAGTGAACGGATTAGTTTTTCTTCTACTACTACTTTTTTTTAACCTATGGATTAAAATCTTTTTCTTTATTATTATAATACTGGCTTGGATGGTTTTTTTTTTTCTATTTTGCTTCACTTAAGAATTTTGTTTCTTTTAAGCCTGGAATATAAAGAAGATATAAAAGGAATACAAAGAGGGTTGTAATATTAGAGGGAAAGGAAGTAACACTGTCACTTGGAGGCTGGAGACTTGAGTCCTGGAAACATTGCTCTTTCTTTTTTCGCTTTGATCATTTTGACTTTGCACTTCAAGATTCTTCAGCTTGTTTATAGAGAGTGATAAGGAGAAGAGCATGGGTTGTTTATACAGGTGTTTTTTGGGAGCTTCATTGGCAGATGGAGAGAAGTGAAAACAAAGCCTTGTTTTGAAAGATTATAAATGAACTTG